ATGTAATATTCTTATTCCCTTTTTATACAAATGTTTTTATGATTTAGGGGGATAAAATCAAAAATGTTGGGAAAGTTGATCTCAAGTAGACAGGATGACAAATTTTAATCTGTTTTTAGAATTCTTATCGCTTCACTAGATCAATTGGTATGTTGGAATGAAAACACATCTGAATTCCAAAGACAGAAAATCACCGATTCCAATCCACATAACACAAATTGAAAAACACTTAAAACTAAGTGATAATTTCATTATTGCTTCCTATAATTTACTCACCCACCCAAATAAACCCTTTCACACACCCCTGATCACAAATGTGGAAAAATTGAAATTATTGGTTTATACACATTACTGCATTAAAAATACTTAAACAATTTAATATATAAAGAATAATAATTATTTAATGAATAGAGAGTACCTTTTTTCTATCCTTCGGTGGTAAACTAATTAGCATTGTCTGTGGTTATATTATTTAATATTCATTGATATATCTCTCTCTAATTTAACAAAACTATATAGGAAAATAATAATTTTATTTATTATTAACAGTTATTAAGAAAAGTAATTACATGATCTGTCAGTTTGCATCACCAGTAGAAATTGTAGACATTCATAAACAACCAGAGGTACATAGAACAAATAATAGTATTGCTTTGTTTCCAGTTAAAAAATAAAATTTAATTGGTTTTATTTTCAGGCTGTTGTTTTGGAAGGAAAATATTGGAAAAGAAAATTTAATGCAGTGACTGCAGAATACAAAAAATGGAGACTATTTTATCGAAGTTTACTACAAAATGGATTCAAAGAAAGACAAAAATTAGTAATTATTAAAACAATATCACTATTATTAACTATATATTTATTTGAAAATCCATTATTAAAATGAATATGTAGGTAATAGCCACTACGTACTTAAATTAGTATACATATAAAATAAATTTTTTTTTTTTATAAAATAATAATTTCATACATTATTTTAATCAATCAATATTCACAATAAAACTTACCATTAACAATCAAAATAAAACTTAATCCTTTCATTGCCACAGACGCATATATGCCTCAATGACAATTAATTACATTGATAGGCCATTGACACGTCATGTGCGTTCACTGGTTTATATTAAAATCTGATAACCTGAAAAAAAAAAAATGTTGATAAGTCAGTTATAATATTTCCAAAAACCATTTAGCAATTTATATTGAACTAATTACTCAGGTTTTGATAAATGTTGAGAAACCTTGGCAGTATAATTAAAAAATGTTTAGAACTTATTAGCAAATTAAATATATAATTTTTATTTCATGCTAATAATTATTAATTTTGGGAATTCGTTGAATAGATTGAAAAAAATCTAAAATTAAAAAAAAAACTGCTCGGCCTGGTATAATTCAAGTGCTTAACTAAGAAAAGGTTAAATAATATACTTATAGTATACTTATAATGTT